GCCCGAGCGCCCGCCGCGGCCCCTGCTGGTGCTGCTGTGCCCCTGTGCGCTGTGCGGCGTGGCGCGGGAGAGCGCTGGGCTTTGGGCTGCTCGAGGGCGGGGTGCCAACCGCGGGGCAAGAGTGCGCAGGCCGGCAGACCCTCACCACCAAAGGGTTATCTGGGGGAGGAGATTCAGCTGCCAAAGTCTTTTATATTCCGGAGTTACTCTCGCACCCGCAGCTCCCCCCCTCCGCCCCGCCAAGGCTCTGCACGTCCTCCAGAAGCCCGAATGACAAACGAGGTGACTAAGAGACCCGCTTCCCCTTTCCTTGCACCCTGGGTATTCGCAGGCTGCTGGTGAGGACTCTTAGTTGGTCTTGGACTAGTTCCGGTCCTTCCCAGGAGCCCCCTAGGGGAGCGCTCTCCTCGGCGGGGGAGGGATCAGTGCTTCTGTGGAAGAAAGGGGGGGCTTCTGCGGCCACCTATAGGGTCCCAGGGGTGTTCGCTCTCCCAGCCCCCAGTAAAGAGCGTTCGCCTCTTCCATGCTGGCGCCAGCCAGAGCGGCTCACTCCGCCTGAGCGATGGCGCCCGCTGTCCCTCCCCAAGGCTGGCCTTCTCTCTAGCTACCCGGCTTCCAGGCCCCAGTTTCCAGCCTCAGCAGTTACGGGGTGTGAGCTAATGAGACGGTGCCATCAGGCAGTACTTTAGAAGCATCGGCACCCCATTATTCTGTAGCAATTTGTGGCTATGAAAACCGTGATTCTGGTCTCACCACCAAATCATCTCTTGTTTCTATCAGTTTCCCAAAGTCTCACAAATTGATGGTCGTCAGGAAATTACAGCTCTTACTGTGTCAACTCACTGGGGGTAATTTTAACAAATTGTTTAAGGATAGATTAACTTAGTAGATCAGTATTTTTGTTGGGTGACTGATTTTTTTTTTTTTTTTTGCTTGGTAAAGTAGAGATGGCAACTTCGCACAGAGTTAAGTTTAAGATTGTGAGATTTCATGCAAGTGGGTTCCAGCTAAAGCCTATACTTTGGGGCTCCCTCTTTAGTTAGCAGACCTCCACATTTCCAAAGTTCTATTTCTTTTTTGGTTTTCCTCAGTAAATTTTCTAAAGCTCTTCTAATAGCCATCAAGTCAACAAAGCACAAAAGTATTTATCAACCATGCACTTGTTTTTACAAATAAAAGAGAGATATTTAAGTACTATTGAAATCTGTTTCTCAGAGTTCACTCCATTTATACAAAAAAATATCAGTATTGAAAGGAACAGCCAAGTTTATCTGATCCAAACACCCAATTTAACCTTGAGTTTCTTCTCTCATATTTCTAATAAGTGGTCATTCAACCTCATCAAAGACCTCTTGAGGAAGCCTGTTATATTTGCCAACAGCTCTCTTAGAAAAAGCCTTCCTTATATTGAACTGAAATCTACCTCCCTGAAACTTTTACCTATTGGATCTGGCTCTCCCCTCGGGGCTCACACAGCAAAATCGAATTTCTCTTCCTTGAGACAGCACTTCATTCATTTGGAAATGGTTTTGTGTCTCCTTGAATCTTCCTTTCCCTGGGTTAACTTAGCTACTTCCATCTGTGTGACAATTCTCAGACTCCTCACCAATCTTATAGTCTTTTCCTGGATAAATTTCAATTTCTCAAGTTTCACCCACATACTAATCAAAAGTTTATTTCCAGAAAAGTATTCCACTTTTCTATTCCATGGGTTCTGACCAGTACACCACACAACTAGACCTGCCTGCATTTTAAATTCTGTGTTTCTACTGATGAACCTTAAGGATACAATATTTGGAAGGCCGCTCTGGGACACCATTTTTTTTATTTATTAACATTATCTCATGTATTGGTTTGATAAAGCTGGGTGGCTTAATAAAAATATCTTTTTTCAGTTTTGCAAACTAAAGTCTGATATCAAGGTCTTAGCATATTGTCTCCCTTGTTTGCCTTTGAGTCCAGTCTGAGGGGAAACCTAAGGCAGTTTCCTTTCTGTCGAGTGAGGCAGTTAAACAAACTAATTCTCTCATATATTACTGGCGAGAATCTACTCACATAGCCATACCTAGCTGCAAGGGAAGCTGGAAACTTCCAGGTTTATTGGCACCAGGCGATCATAAAGCGGAAGAGGATGGATTAGAGGAGTCAGGAAAAAACTAGAAATATATTACACACTCTGTGAGAGATACAGGCTGAGGTTTTCAATAAAGGGGACAGAGAAGTTCTGGGAAGGTGACATTTAAATAAAATCCCAATGATGAGGTAGTGAATTACAGTTTCTAAGGAAGCATCCCCAGGAAGAGGGGAAAGCAGATGCAAAGTCCCTGAAGCAGAAGCATGACTGTTATGACAGGAAACAGGAAAGACATCAGTGAGGAGAGTGAGTAAGTGATGGGGAGAACCTGGGAGAGGAGTCTGAGACTGGAGTGGTTACCTAGCTAGGGACCTACAGGCCATGGCAGTGATCTGGTTTTTCCTCAAAATAAGAATGAACATTGGAGATTTGTGGGCATGGAAGGAATACAGTGAGACTTGACAGGCAGGGCCTATGTCCAGGGCCTATGGATGTATGTCCAGCCTCTATCACTCACAGTCCAGCACCCTGCCCTGTTGCCCTCTTTTCCTCCTTCTCAGCTCCAGTCCCTTGATGCCCAGAGTGCCAACCCCCATGGCACACTGCTTCACAATCCTTCTCAACTCTTAGTCCTAAATATCAACCCAGTGAAGTTATTCAAATTGGCTTATTCTAAACTTACAGTCTGATCTCGTTCTTCCTTCCCACAGAAACCACGATGTGGGCTCTTGTCTGGTTCCCATCCTGATCCACCCTCTCTACTCCTGACCAGCTGTGGTGCTGCCTAGTGGGTCCTACACAGAGCACTGTGGCTCCTGTTTCTAGGGAGCAAGCAGTGAGTAGGAAAAGCTCTTCCTTAATGACCACCATTGTCATAATGACAGGTCCCCCTGTCTTACCAAACCTGATTAAAACAAATCCTGGATACCCTTTTAATGCAAGTCCTGGATACCCTTAAACCATATAGCTGTTGAGAGGAGTAAAGTGACCCTGCAACTGCATGATTTGTTATTATCTCTAAAGAAAGCTTGGCATGTTTGCCTCGACATTTCACCCACTAAATGGAAATTATATTAGTACTTACCTCCTGCACCCGTTGATGGGATTAAATGGAGTTATACCTGGAAAGTATCTGAAGCACCCTCAGGCCAGGAGATCCACAAATGTGCACAACAGAATTGTGGAAAATTGGATACAAACTAAATAATGGAATGAATAAATAAATTGTACTTTGGTCACACTAAGGAATGTTGCGTGATCACTAGAATAAATTGGATTTCCAGGTAAGAGAGCTCTGTGGAATATTGTTCTTGAGTTAAAGAAGCAAAATGTGGAATAAAATGTACACTAAGACATTATGGGGGAAATGCCATCGAGGAATAGCTGTGAATGCAAAAGAAAAAAGCCTAAAGCGAGGCACAGCAGATAGTAGGGTTGCAAGGTTGGTGAGAGTAGATACAACTGTTGGGGAGAGACAGTCAAAAAATACTTTGGGGCCCTCCCTGGTGGCGCAATGGGTTAGGATGCCACACTGCAAGTGAGCTGCAGCCCCTTCGGTGCGAGTTTGATCCCCGCCCCAGAGATGACCCACATGGCATGGGCAGACCTCTCCTGACCCGCCCGCTGGTCCCCTCAGCAGTGTACTTCATTGATCTGCCTGTTCTGCTCCCCACTCTGTCTCTGGTCTCTAGTGAATCCTTTCACCGCCCCTGCACCTCTGGCTTGCACCCCAGTTCTGTATGCATAAATAAACTTTTTTAAAAATGTATTTAAAAAAAACAACTTTGGTTTTATTTCTAAGATTCTTATTTTATTTTATTAATATTTAACATAATTGTTCATATATTTATTGGTAAGATGGCTATTAGGCAATGGTTATATAATTAAAAATTAGTTTGAAATGTACAAGAGAGAAAAAGATAAGCATAGAGAGACGTTCACTTTGAGAATACCACACACTGATAGAATTTTTTTTGAAGATAAAGATGATGGAGATCTGTCACCTAAGGTGTCCCTCAGCTGCAGACTTCCTTTGGAAGGAAAGGGGACAGATGCTCAGGAAAGGTTGACCATGGAGCTAGTTGGCCATTTTGAAGCAGCCCGACACTGCTTCCCCTCCAGAAACTCCTCACTTCATAGGGGTGTTGGGGTGGCCCCAATGGTGCCAGGGACGGGCCTGCTCCTGTTTCTCTCTGGAAGCTTCTTCCTTCTATACTAGATTCTTAGAAATGGGTTGATCATTTTCTTGTAATAAGAATGGTAACTATGGCATTAGCAGGGGATGATTAAACAAATCAGTGGTGCCAACGTAATAGAAGTTTCTTTCTCCTTTGTAGGAAGTTCAGGGAGATGATGGAGGAGAGAGTTAAGGAACTTGGTTGGAGAAAATCTGCACCACCCTCCCACAGCACCAGAAAGAAGGCAACTTTGTTGTCTTAATCTCATGCTTTGAAAGAGCCA